CCCCAAAACCCCAAAACCCCAAAACCCCAAAACCCCAAAACCCCGTATTATTAATAAGAAATTGATATTCACCTGAACTATTTTACCCTGAAATATGGAAATATCAGTGAATTTACTAAATGCCAAGATCAGCAATCCTTGCCAGGCTAGTCCAAAGAGAAGTACCTCTGGGCTAACCAGTCCAGAACTAATATTTTGGAGAATTTTCAAGTAGAACAAACCAATTTTGGTGAGTTAGAAGGGGATTTTATATTAAAGTCTAATAATACCAGATCCTTGGAAATTCGAACAGAATTTCTAGATTTTTAGAGTTGAGAATATTTAGCTTAAAAATTATTTTATTGTTACTAGGCCTCTGAAAATCTGAAAGACTTATTCGGTACAGAGTCTATATGTCATTATAACCGGTCAACGAACAAGTTGGAAAATAATTTCTATCGTATTTTAAAACTTATAGAAAGTTAGGTATCATTAAACTTTTGGATTGGATTGTCAGGTAAATCAGCAAGGTGCACTTCACAACTACATTGCAGAACTATTACAATACGTAATGACCCTGACACAGAATCTATCGGTTAAGGTACGAAAGTTTTGGCCATTTTGATCAATTATAAAACCTACTACCAATATTCGTCCTCATGGATGAAGTCTCACTGTCTTTGCCAATATTCTCGAAGAAGGATGAGTACTTGCCTATAATAAGGTTTATGGCATTATTCTAAAATATTTTGAGATAGGTGGTAAACCGTCCGGATTTTATAGTGAAGCTTACCTTTGCCAATAGTTTTGAAGAACTTCCTCCTATCATTCGTTGATCTCTTTCTAATATCTTTCGAGGGAGGATTTTTGTAGTACAAAGTATCGTCTATCTCAGGAGATCCAAGGCCCATATCCTGATGACTCGTTAACGAATTAATCACTTTTTGTGAGTCAAGGCTCCATGGAATTTCTCCTGGGGCAATGGTGGAGTCTCTTAGTTTCGAAGGCGAGGAGTATTTATCATATCTTGATTTCATCATTCCTTGCTTGAAATCTCTACTGTTCTGGCTGAACATACCTATAGAGTACGATTTAGATCACAAATTATTATAGCACATGAATAAGTCTTAATCTAAAAATCCTGGTTTTCATGATTTGAAAGGAAATTTCAAGTGTATTCGTGGAAATCCTCAGCTGATTCCTCTGAAAAATTTATTGGTTAAGATCCTAAGGAGATCTAGGTGACGTACGCAATTTTGGTAGATTTAATCCCTTCATTTCAGCACGAGTTTTATGCCCTATATAACTCTGGTTTCTAGTCCGTCGTAACTTTGCAATAGCCGAGGGCTTCATTTTCTTCACGATAGATCTTGCAGAGGTCTTATTTAAACTTTATTTTCTTCAAAATTTTAGGCCGGATGGGAGATCTTATCCCCATTTCAGTATTTCCTACCACAGAGTACTTTTTGGGTCTTACCCGGGATCTTTTGGCAAGTTTTCTCTCATTGTTTACTTTCCGCTTAGCCTCTAAGTTTTTCACCAGCATGAATTTTTTAATGTATTCCTTAAACATGTCAGTTGTGAGGTTAGCCCTATTCTTGGGCTTTGGCTTCAGGACTCTTTTGATCCTTCTTCTCGTCTTCGCGTTCATATTTATTCAATATAATTATACTCCTAGGGGTTTTGGGGTTTTGGGGTTTTGGGGTTTTGGGGTTTTGGGGTTTTGGGGTTTTGGGG